GCAGGGGGCGCTCTCCCCGGGCAGGCAGGGCTGGCCCCAGGGCGGCGCTAGGGGGCGCTCGGCTGGGGGCTCAGCAGGGGGTGCTCTCCCCTCACAGTCAGCCCTGACCCTAGTCCTCAGGGAGGCAGTAGAGGTCTCTGTGTTGCTGGAGGTGCCCATAATTAAAAAGAAACATAAAACCTAGTTCCTAGTCTCTGCTCTTTGCCTCAACATCCAGGTGTGGTGAACCCAGGTGTCCTGGCCAGGCCCTAACTGAGCTAATTCCATTTTGCCTCCCTAAATTCCCTCTGCAGGGCCAACTGGGTACAGGGCCATGGGCCACTTCCTGTCCCATAGTGGGGCATTGCCGTGTGGCCATCAGACAGCCCAGAGGTAGCCGCAGTCCCAGAGGCAGCTGAAGTCAGCCCTCTGCTTAAAGAGAGCGTCTCATTCATTGTGCAGAGGAGGAAGTGCTGGCGGGCGGGGGCTGGACGGCAAATGGCCAGTAAGTGTTTGCTTGGTTCTGTCTTCCAGCTTTAGCGGGCATTTCAAGTGGCTCCTCTACAACAGGGCGGTGCCTTCCTTAATCCAAGAGGGGCCTCAGTGAGTATTGCAACCGCTTCCTCTCTGTCAGGGCAAACGCAGCCGGAGGTGGCTTTACCCGGGGGCTGGGGCCACCCAGGGGGCTAGGGCAGGGGTCTCAGTCCCATGGATCTACAGCTTCCCCTGCTTGGTCCCTCCCAAGCAGTTGCCAAGAGCTCTTTTGTGCCTGGGCATCGGGGGAGCATAGGCGTGGCCAGCCTGGGCCAGCTGCTGTATTACGGTAGCACCTAGGCAGCCCAGCCATGGACCCGGCCCCATTGGGCCAGGTCCTGTATAAACCTCCCAAAAGACAGTCCCCGCCCGAGAGACCTGCAATCTAGGTCTAAGAGAAGAGCCAGACGATGCAGACGGACAGGGTGCGCGGGAATCAAGGAGGCTGTACCACTCGGCGTGGCGGGCAGGGATCTCCGCCCACCAGTAGCCTTACCGCTGGGAAGTCTGTTGGAGGCATCCCAGCAAAGGAGCGTTTCCCGGCGGGCACAGGAGGCCGAGGAGGGAGCCGTGCGGATGTTTACGGGCAAGCGCACAAAGGGCCGGGGGAACGTTACTCACTGCGTCGGAGGGAAAAGGATCGTGAGCAGGTAGCACAAGGGCGGACGAGTTGGTCTAAACCTAACGTCCGACTCGGGATCTGCCTTTAAAAACCCCACACCTGGCCTTTTCCATCTTAAACAGGTGCCCCCAGGCAAAGCGGGAGCTCCCCCGAACCCCAGCCTGGGGTGGGAGGCGCCCCCTCAGCGAGCCATACCCTCCCCTGGAGGAATGAAGGCCTTGCTGGAGCTAGCATCTGTGGCCAGACGGCCCATTCGCTCATGTTGCCTGATCTCCTGGATGGGCCGATGTGTGAGCCCAGCGAGTTGAGTTCGAGCAAAGCATTTCAGTCCTCGGGGCTAAGCTCTGGTGAGCCCAGGCAGGGAACAGGAGCCACCGAGGTGCCACCGCTGCCCCAGGCCCCTGTGATGGCAGGGAATCGACTGAGTGAGACGTGCCCAGATGAGCCCAGCCGGTGACCCGCGCCCCAGGCTGCAGGGGGAGGCTGGGAACGCCGAGGGGGAAGAGGCCTAAGGACACGGGAACCCAGGGAAGCGTTCCAAGGCTTGCAGAGAAATACCCATCTCTAAACCCAGCGCCCTGGGAGGGGGACTGGCCGAGCTCAGCCCGTGGGACCCAGGCTCCCTGCAATGTCTCTTCTCTCCCCCGCTAGGTGCGGGCTGGTGGCGCTGTGGATGGCGGGCTCCCTCCTCAGTCTGTCCCAGGACGTCTCCCTGGAGAGGATCGTGCAGGTGGCGCTGGAGAGAGGCTACACCGCCCAAGGGGAAATGTTCTCAGGTCGGTGACTGGGGGGGGGTTCAAAACTCCCTCCTTGCACTAGGCCCCGGGAGCTGGGCTGGGCGCAGGGGGGAGCCTCCAGGGCCCGGTCTGGGTTGTGACTGCGTGAGGATGTGCCCAGAGGCGGTACATAGTGCAGGGCATGAGGGCTTTGCTCCTGCCTTGCTGGAGTTCGGTCTCTGGCCCCTAGAGCGTTGCTGGGGACCGGACGCCTTTGCGGAGGGGCTCGATGCAGGGGGAGCTGGGTGTCTGGGCTGGACAGCAGGTCAGACTAGATGGTCTAATTGTCCCTTCCAGCCTTATTCTCTGAACCCTGCTCTCTGCACGGCAGCAGCTCCCACCTCTGTGCCCTCCGCGGGATTAGTTTGCTTGAAAACTTGCAAGCTCCTTGATTTAGGAGAAAACCCTGTTAATTTCAGGCTCCTGCGTCCCAGCTTTTCTCCACAGCCTGCAGGGCTGGACACTTGTATTTTCAATGAAAGTTGAGGATTTTGTGGAATCCCGGGACTCCAGGAGGTGGAGCTTTGTAAGGAAAAACACCAGCTCTCGTTGGGCTGCTGATAAAATCCTGAGTGCAGGCCCCAGTGAGCCCGGCCTGTATAAATGCCGCGGGGCCAGGGGCCAGTGTTGTGTGTTCTCTCACTGGGAGGAGTCTCAGGCCGGCAGGGACCATTGGGAGCAGCTGGTCCGACCTCCCGCAGAACACGGGCCTTGCCTGAAAAACAGCCCAGCTTGATTTCAACAGCTCCAGTGCTGGAGAACCCGCCGCGGCCCTCGGGAAATCGTTCCAATAGTTCCTTCCCCTCCCTGTTACAAATCTGTGCCCGTTTCCTGTCTGAATTTGTCCAGCTTCACCTCCCAGCCGCTGGGTCGTGTCCGCCCTTTGCTAGGCTGCAGAGCCCATGTCGGATCACGTCCCCCCGGCAGCGCGTCTTCGGAGCGCTGCTTAGGGGAGCAGGAAGCCAGGGGCCATGAGCCGAGCTCGGGCTGCGCTGCTGGGGGTGGGCCTCGGGGCAGCTTGAATTCCTGTCCCTGTCCATCCCAGCGGCTGACATGGCCCAGCTGGCCGAGGAGCTGTTCCAGTGCCGGGCCGAGCTGCTCTCGGGAGGTCTCGAGGGAGAGAACCGAGGCAGGATCCTTCGCCATCTGACCGCTGGCTGCCCCCTGCTACTGCCGTATCCTTCCCTGCGCGGTGACCCCATGGGATCCGCACCGCAGCCTGCACGCATGGGCAGGGCTGGCGCAGTTCTGATACCCCTGTAGAGCGGGCCTGGTGGGGTCATTTTAGAGGCAGATGCGGCCACTTCTGGGGTGGGATGTGGTCACATCTCTCGTGTCTCCTCTTCCTGGCTGCAGTGGGTGGGGGGGGGAATGAATGTGGGGCAGGTGCCTTCTCCCTCCCAGTGGTTAAATGCCCCACCCACGCCTGCCCCCCTGTGCCCCACCCTTCCGAGGCAGCCGTTGCGGTGGCGTCCAGAGCCCGCAGGTACAGACAGCAGCACATTTGATGCTCCAGCCCCTCTCTGGTTGGAGAGGTTTAGCGGCCCCATGTGTGCCCAGTCAGCGCCTGGGGGGAGCGCACTTCTCCAGGGGCAGGAGCCGGGTGCCTGGAGCTGGGGCGGCCTGCTCTCCCCACGTGCCCCTGCCTCGCCAGCCGGCCCGCCACAGCCTCCTTGGCAAACCTTAACGGCCGTCCCAGCTACGACGAGGACTCCAACCACGAGCCCTGCAGGAGACGCGGCTACAAAGCCCACTGGGCCGTCGTCTCAGGTACGTCCGGGTGGGGGATGGGTTCTGGGGCTGCGGCGAACGGGGCTTGGACCCCTCCTGCCCAGGCCGTTTGCCCTGCTCCCAGGCAGCTCCCTGCAGCCGCCGCGACCTGCCCCGGTCCACCCCCAGACTTCCCCATGGAAGGCCTTGGGGCGCCCAGCATCCTAAGGCTGGGACGTGGGGACAACCCTGCGCCCGTCCCTTGGCACAGGGAGAAAGAAACCAGGAGGGCGAGTTGGTCTGGCTGCATTTCCAAGGCTCGCCACAAGGGGGTGGCAGCTGGCCAGGCATGAGCCGACAGCGGCTCACGGGGACCTGTCCGGAGGGGCTGCCCCCAGCACTGGCCCGGTGATCCGAGGGGCGTGGGGTGATCCCAGGGGCGTGGAGGGGCTCGGACAGGATGGAACTACCCTGGGGAGACTGGCTAACTCCTCTCCTCCTGCAGGACTCCTGCTGGGCCTCAGGGGCGGCGCCCTCAGCCCGGCCTGCCAGGAGGACGGGGAGATCTCCGGCCTCTTCCACCCCAGCCCGGCCTGCCCCCCGCCTGCCCCGGAGGACGTGCTGGAGATCTACCTGCTCTCCAAGCAGGGCAAGAGCTGGCGCCCCCAGCTGTGGAGCTACCGGCAGGCACACGAGAGCAACGCCCAGCTGACCGACTTCTGCCCCAAGCGGGCGGGCGACGGCAAGGTCTACATGGTGCCCGCGGGAGGCGTGAGGGCAGGGCTCTGCGGCAAGACCGTGCTGCTGCACCCACGGACCGCACCGAGCGCCCTGCCCCAGCCAGCTGGGCCATCCCCTGCTGCCGAGCGCTAGGAGCCACCGGAGCGCCCGCCTGCTGCAAACTCCCTGCAGCCCTTGGGCCTGCCCATGTTACAAGGGACAGCGGGGCCTAGTGGGTGGAGCACTGATCTGGGACTCGGGGGGCCTGGCTCTGCCGCTCTTCCCCGCTCCGTGCCTCAGTTTCCCCTCTGCAAAATGGGGCCAATGATCCTGCCGTCCTTTGCAGAGCGCCTGGAGACGGAGCGGTGCACGGGGAGGGGCAGAGCGTAGCATACTCCGACCCACTGAGGAGACAGCCGCTGGGGTTAAAGTGCCAGGTGCGGCCCCAGCACCTTTTTGCTGATGCCCGCCGGGCTGCGGCCATGGGGGGGGAGCAGCTATTTCAGGCCCTCTCCAGAGGCGCTGCTGCTCTTCTACCCAGTGACGCTTTTCAGTATGTCCCAGATTCCTGGTTTGGGGCCACGGCGCCAGGAAACGGCAGGTACTTGTGGCCGGCTCTGAAAATAACTTAACGCTTCCTGTCTGCCACCTGCCACTGTTAGCTCTTGAGAGCAGGGACTGGCAGTCGGGGTCTGGGCAGCGCCCGGCACGACGGGGCCCTGATCTTGGGCGGGGTCTGGGCAGCGCCCGGCACGACGGGGCCCTGATCTCGGCTGGGGTCTGGGCGGCGCCCGGCCTGAC